ATGCAGGGACGAGAGAAGGTGTAGAGTGGATAGGTTCAGGGTTCAGGGTTCAGGGTTTAGGGGTTAGGGGTTTAGGGTTTAGGGTTTAGCAGGGTCTAATTGGTAGAGTACACAGCCCGAAGCCGTAAATCCTAAAGCCCTAAAGCCCTACAAGCCTGCACCCCAAAATTGCTGAAACCCTAAGAGCCTGAAACCCTCAAACCCGACAACCCTAAAAACCAAAACTCCAAAATCCTAACACCCTAAAACCCGAAAATCCTAACGCCCGAAAAAACCTAAAAACCTAAAAACCCTAACATCCTAAAAACCTAAACCGGCTAAACAAAACAACCGAAGGATTTACCTGAGGCCTCGATGTTGGGCGCAAGCCTCGTGGACGCAGCGCCGGGCCACTGGCACCTGGGGAGACCCCCGGGTTTAGGGTTTAGGATTTGGGGTTTGGGGTTTAAGGTTTAGGGTTTGCTGTGATAAGGCGTAGATGCTGTGAAGGTTAGGCTTCGGAACAAGCTCGAATGCTTCGTGAGGTGCGAGGAGCTGCTTTGGCCCGATTGTGGAGGGCCATCTAACAATTTTCCGGTACCGGGCCCCGACCCCCATGCTGTGGGAGGCGGGCAAGCGACCTGGGCCGGCTTGTGCCATCGAGATCGAAGGGCTTAAGCGCCCCAACGTAGGGGGGCGGCCTAAGCCCCTGCGTGACCATCGTCTCCTCTTGACTTGTGTGTGTGTCCATATGTATGAGTATGTGTATGAGTATGTGTATGTGTGTGTATGTATGTCTGTATGCGTGTATATATGTATATGTGTGTGAAATGCGTATGTGCGTGTTGGCTTTTGCAGGGGACATTTAATGGGGGCTCTTCTTGTAGCCTTCATACGAGTTCATAAGAGTTGGAAATGGCCCCCCGGGGGAGTGAAAGCCCTAAACCCCAAACCCTAAACCCTATACCCTAAACCCCAAAGCCTAATTCAAAAACGACCCCCAGCAGTTGTCTGACCTCTACAGCCTTTGCATCAGGGGACTCTACCCTTGGACCCCTAAACCCTAAACCCTAAACCCTAAACCCTATACCCTAAGGGCCATAGTAGGAGTATACTAAGGAAGACCTTGATGGGTACAACCTTCGGGACACGAGCCGAACCCCTTGACTTGCAAAAGCAGAGAAAAGCGCAGACACCACACACATCTGAGAGGCACAAGCCTAGACCCTGCCCTACAGGGTTCAGGGTTCCCCTAAACCCAAAAGCCTAGAAAACCCTTGAAACCCTGAACCCTAAATACAAAAACCCTAAACCCTGTGGCCACTATTCAAGTTGAGGCGGACCTTACAACCCAACGGAGAGCCGCGTCTGAGACGCGTGCTTCGTATGCCATACTCCAGGCCTGAAGCACACGGAGCAGAGGATCGTATACTCCCCAAGGCCCGGGGTTTAGGATATCGGGATTACGGTTCAGAGCCCTGCCCTAACCACCCAGAATCTAGGCTTCCTGGGGCTCTTGAAACCTAAACCCTAAACCCTAAACCCTAAACCCTAAACCCTAAACCCTAAACCCTAAACCCTAAACCCTAAACCCTAAACCCTACACCCTAAACCCTAAACCCTAAACCCTAAACCCTAAACCCTAAACCCTAAACCCTAAACCCTACCCTAAACCCTAAACCCTAAACCCTAAACCCTAAACCCTAAACCCTGAACCCCCACGGGGTGAAGAAGCTGAAGCCTCTGAGACCCCTTGTTTCAGGAATCCTCCTTAGTTTCTGTCGGGGACCTTCTGATAAAATAAGGCCCCCCCCCTACCATGAAGTTCAGGGCCCTATAGAAGTCAAATGGGTTTAGGTTTCGGGTTTAGGGTTTAGGGTTTAGGTTTAGGGTTTAGGGTTTAGGGTTTAGGGTTTAGGGTTTAGGGTTTAGGGTTTAGGGTTCAGGGTTAATTTCTATGGGCTGCCCGAAAGAGCCCAATGCCGCTCAAGTAAGGAATTATTTTTCAAGGAATGAAGCTGAAGTCGTAACAAGGATCTCTATTTTGGGGCTGCTTCGGTAGAGAAGATCGGGGTTTAGGGATTAGGGTTTAGGGTTTAGGGGTATGGCCTGGGGACAGGGTAGCAGGATTCAGGCCCCCCTCCCAAATCTAAGTGGCGTGCTTGAGGCTTGGTAGTCCGGAATTCTGCTGTAATAAGGGTATCCTTCTGGGGGCTGGTTGCGTTTACAAGAGAACCCAGCACCCAAAAATGGGCAAAAGTGCACCACGGGGCTACCAAGGAGGCGGATCCTCATCGTGCGCCCTAAACCCGAAACCCTAAACCCTAAACCCGAAACCCGAAACCTTAAACCCTAAACCCTAAACCCTGAACCCTAAACCTCGGCTTCAAAGCTTAGGGTACATTCACTCCCCCCCTAGCCCTATACCTGAAAAGCCTAATCCCTTACCCTAAGCCCTAACCCTTAATACCCTGAGGCCTAAACACTGAACGCTACCCCCGAAACCGAAACCCAAACCCCAACAAAGCACATGAAGAGAGGCCTTCGCAAACTCTTCCAGCTCCTTCGCCCAAGGAAGCCCTAGCCCTACACCAAAAGCCCCCAGTTCCCTAGACGGCTTAGGGTTTTGGGCTTAACGGGTTTGGTTCACCCTGAAGCCGAAACCCTCCAAAGCCCTGAAGGCGGCCCTGGATCCTAAGGTCAAAAGTCGTTAAAGGATAGTGGGGTTTCAAGACTTTTGGGTTTGGGGTTAGGTTTTGAGGATTTGGGTGGGGGGGTGGGGGGGTGGGGGGTGGGGGGATGGGGGGGTGGGGGGGTGGAGGGTGGGGGGGGGGGGTGTGGGGGGGGGTGGGGGGGGTGGGGGGGGGTGGGGGGGGTGGGGGGGGTGGGGGGGGGGGGGGGGGGGGGTGGGGGTGGGGGGGGTGGGGGGGGGTGGGGGGGTGGGGGGGTGGGGGGGTGGGTGAGGCCTGAACCCGAAACCCAAAACCCTAAACCCTAAACCCTAAACCCACAATACGCCGCCAATCTCCAGGCAAACACCTCATACCCCAAAGGGTTCATTTGCCCAGGCTCGATTCTGGACCCCCCAGTCTCCGATGAGAAAGGTTTTCCCGAAAGCCCAATAGCCCTTAGAATTTGGGGTTTAGGGTTTAGGGTTTAGGGCCTAAATGAGGAATATACCTTAAATCATACTGAGGATACCTTTATAGTTCAAGGTCTATTCCTTACTTAAGGGTTTCGGGCTCTCTGGGTTTCAAGCCTACTTAGAACGCCCGCAGCGGAAATCACACTGCAAACTTAACACCTTGTTCGTCGGATGGGATGCCGCCCCTGAGCCCAGGGACTCCAATACCCCTTAAGTAGGAACATTCCTTAACATGTAAGAAGGTTCCTTAAATGCCCCTTAATTGAGGAATATTCCTTAACACGTAAAAGGGCTCCTTACATGGTTGAAGCAATCGTCCTGATTTAAAGAGTCAACGACATGTGAACTTGGTTTGGCTGACTTGGGCTCGCTGTGCGTCGTGTGTGGGTGGCCTTGGCTTCCTACTACTGCATCCAGCAGAACAGTGGCCCCTCAACCCCCCCTAAACCCTAAACCCTAAACCGTAAACCCTAAACCCTAAACCCTAAACCCTAAACCCTAAACCCTAAACCCTAAACTCTCCGAGCCAAAGACCCTCCCCTTCTCCTCGGCGGCCAGGCGCGGGTGGGTGTGCTTGTGGAGGAAGCGGAGCCTGGCTTAAAGAGAGCTTGTTTTAGGGTTTAGGGTTTAGGGTTTAAGAGAGGGGTTTCGGGTTCAGGGCTCAGCAGGGTTTCGGGGGTTTTAGTGGGTGTAGGGTTTAGGCCTAGGGTTTATAGGGCTCGGGGTTTGGGGTTTAGGGTTTAGGGTTGGCTTAGGGCCTAGTACTCAATCTAGTCCTATAGTTAACTACTACGACAATTCAACGAATGACTGAGACGACTGTCCGAGACATGTCGGACAAGTTGTTCTTGTATCCTCGGCCCTTAACGCATATCTAGCGCTTCTTTTACCATGATTTCCTGTCCCACAGCTACGTAGGAATTGACCTTCAACTATACAGCGATTCATGCCTTAGAATGACTTGAGGTGTATATATATATATGTATATGTATATATATATATATATACTATATATATATATATATATTCATTCAGCCCCTCAATTCAGGGGTACCTCCTCTGCGAGGATGTTCAAAGGTCCCTTCTTGGATGGGATGCAGTAGTCCTACTGGCTCTTAAGTGGGGGAGTTAGGTACAGTACGTTATATCCCCCTGTATCGACCGTTAAAGGGCGTTATATAGGGCACCGCATTCCCCTCATTCCCTACTTGGTAGCCCAGTAAATAATGAGGGTACCTTTTTGGGGGTGGTTACTTTGTAAGGGAACCTTGAAGCAAAAAAAGGCAAAAGGGTAACACTGGGCTATCAAGCCTACAAAGAACCAGCACGTAGTCCATCTTCTCTATAACCTTAGCAAAAAATATAACTTTTGCTGTTTCTTAGGAATCTTATAGTACCCAACAAGCACACTAAAAAAAAAACAATCAGAATAATAAAACTATGCCAAGTATCCCTAGGTTGTGGGGCTTCTGATGCTTGGGGATAGATGACGAAGAGGTGAGCGGTACTCTTGACATGGTGGTCGGCACAGCGATTTAGGGTTTATAGGGTTTATAGGGTTTATGGGTTTATAGGGTTTATAGGGTTTATAGGGTTTATAGGGTTTATAGGGTCTATAGGGTTTAGGGGGTTTAGGGGATTTACAGGGTCTACAGGGTTTATCGGGTTTATCGGCATGATAGCGTTTAGGGTTTCAGGGTTTGCGAGCAAGCGGCCCTCATGCCTAAAAGACTCCATTTTCTGCAGCCACATCCGCCGAGCAACAACGGTAACTCCAACATCACACTCGAAACAGTCGTAAGAAAGAGCTGCAGGTAAGACAACTAACGCGCCGGCGAGTTCTTGCCGTAAAAAGCTGTGGCCATGCTACAACTCCTCACTTGGTGAAGGGGAAGTGGTGGATATCCTTCGTTGCTGAGTTCATAGCCCCCCCCCTCCCCCCCCCCCAAAAAAAAAAAAGCCTACTGCTACTGAAGGGGGGTTATAGTATCCCAAAAAGTGTAGAAAGTGCAATTACTCAGCTACTAAACGAGGGTTATAGTATCCCAAAAAGTGTAGAAAGCGTACTCATTCATCCCTAAACCCTAAACCCTAGGCCCTAAACCCTAAACCCTAAACCCTAAACCCTAAACCCTAAACCCTAAACCCTAAACCCTAAACCCCAAAGCGTACTCATTCAGCTATTATAAGTGTCCAGGGCGACGGCTTGCGTGAGGCAGCCGCCGACGGCGAGCATCGCCAGGCGGCCGTTCTTGAGCTCGGACGTCTTCATGAGCTCCTAGGATGGCCCTAGGAAGAAGCCCTCTAAAAAAGTAGGGTGTGGGGGTTAGGGTTTAGGGTTTAGGGCTTAGGGTTTAGGGTTTAGGGTTTAGGGTTTGGGGTTTGGGGTTTAGGGTTTAGGGTTGAGTGAAGAGCTCCTAGGATGGCCCTTAAAACCCCCTGAAAAGTATTTGTGAGATATGATCCTCTTATAAACCCCAAATACGGGAAAATTTCTTTAAAAAGAAAAAACTCCTAAACCCTAAACCCTAAACCCTAAACCCCAAGAAGGGCCTGCCTAGGCTCCATGCCCTTGTCCGTTTTTGGCGCGAGGGCACGTAGGCCGAGGTCTCCGGCGTTCCTCGGCTCAAGAGTAAACCAGAGGAAGAAAAGAAAGGGGTTTAGGGTTTAGGGTTTAGGGTTTAGGGTTTAGGGTTGACCAAACCCTTTTGGGTTCAAAGAGGAGCTTTAACAGGGAAGCCAAAACCTATAAGAAGGGGAATAAACCAGAGGAAAAAAGAAGGGGAAACCCTTTGAATTTTAGTCTAAAGCGAGGCTTGATAAGGGAAGTAGAAACCCTATAAGGAGGGAATAAGGGCCTCATAAGGGCCTACTCTGGATCCTAGCCCCAAACCCTAAACCCTAACCCATAACCCCTAAACCCTAAACCCTATATAAACCCTAAACCCTAAACCCTAAACCCTAAACCCTAAACCCTAAACCCTAAACCCTAAACCCTAAACCCTAAACCCTACACAGAGGGTACCGCTGGTCCTGCCAAGGCTCTCAAGGGTCAAGCTCTCGAAGCCCAGACCGACCTGCTTGAAGCGGAGGGACTCGATGGCGCCCACGACGATCCTATACGGAACTTCTTTGTAGAGAATGTCTATAGGGTTTGGGGTTTAGGGTTTAGGGTTTAGGGCTACCGAACTGGGAACCCTAGCAAAGAGTACGATTTTCGCTGTTTCTGAGGAATTATGTCGCCCTAAGCCTTAAGCCCTAAGCCCAAGAATAAAAACTGTTCCCACGTATCCCGAAGCATCATCATGTTCCACATCTGGCCCTCGCCAAGTCCGGGGCCGATGAGCTTGTTGTGGGCGGCAATCACATCAATGCTGGTGTCCTGCTTGGTGCTTGGAGGTTCATGGGACTTACTAACCACTTATAACTGGGCTTATAACCCTACTTATAATAGGGCTAACCCCTATAAGGCCCTTTAGGGGTATTATAAGTGGGGTTATAAGTACAGTTATAATTGGTTAGTAAGTACCATGAACCTTCAAGTGGCTCAGCAACCATCTTGGACTAAGGGCACCCTTTTTTGGGGATAGTTGGCTACTGTACAATATTAGAATAAGGGAGCCCTCTTTTGAGGTTGGTTGCTTTATAAAGGGAACCCTGAACCAGAACAAAGGGGAAAAGGGGTTTAGGGTTTAGGGTTTAGGGTTTAGGGTTTAGGGTTTAGGGTTTAGGGCCACATGGGCCACGAAGCCTGGCAGGGGCCGTCGATCGGCAGGCGGAAGGCGTCGGGGACGATCAGGCCGAGGAAGGCAAGCCTAGACCCAGGAGTAACCTAGGATTAAACATCGTACCCTTTTTTTGGTTTAGGGTTTAGGGTTTAGGGTTTAGGGTTTAGGGTTTAGGGTTCAGGGTGCCTGAAGGTAATTGCAAGGGAACCCCAACCCCAAAAAAAACAAATAAGGGCCTACTCGGGGTCCTAGAAGCATCGCCACACGCCCGTGCTTGAGCTCGGCCTCACGGAACCAAGGGAGCAGGGTGGGGTAGCTCTCTGCAAAGTTGCAGGGGTCGAACTCATACCTTACTTCTCCAAAAAACCAAGGGTAATAAAAAGTTAAACTTTATAATTAATATTCCTACTAAATAAGGAAACCCAAAAAGTCTAAAGTTCAACTAAGATACTGGTTCCCGAAGCCTCCGGCGCTTCCCACCAAGCCCCCTGCGAACTTCTCAGCGCGGAGCGCCGTGCGCTTGCGCTGGCAGACGGCCATGCCGGCAGCTGCCACGGTGCCGGCCCCAGCCTCTACTGAGCTTTCGAACCCTAACTAGCAAAAATTAGACTTTTTGCTGCTCCTTTGAAGTTTTTGTACCCCAAGAATGAAAAAAAAAAAAGGATTCCCAAGTATCCCTAAGCAGCCAGGTTGAGCATGGTGGAGCTGCAGCCTACGCCGGAGCTGGGCTGAGCGCCCCTCAGCCGTGCCATCTCGGCTGGCTGGTGCCCGGCCGGCTGGCTGACCACGAACCTCTACTGAACTTGGAACCTAGCAAAAATCGAAATTTTAGCTTTTTCTTGGGAACTAAAGTACCCAATTTGTTTGAAATTTTAGCTGTTTCTTAGGAACTAAAGTACCCCAAAAGGAAAAAAAAAAAAAAAGCTATTCCAAGTATCCCTGAGGGACCCGGAGGTCATGGCGTAGGCACCGGCCGCGGCAATGGCCATGGCACCGAGTCTCTCCGACATGGCGATGCGACGCTACGGAGTCCTAAAATGCCTCGGAAGGTCCTGTGGGGCTGTGCCGGGCCGCTGGCAGCAGAGCAGACTCACACTGGCTCGACCTTCATTCTATATATATATATATATGTATTACATATATTACATATAGTCCATATATTACATATATTACATATATTACATATATTACATATATTACATATATTACATATATTACATACATTACATATATTACATATATTACATATATTACATATATTACATATATTACATATATTACATATATTACATATATTACATACATTACATATATTACATATATTACATATATTACATATATTACATATATTACATATATTACATATATTACATATATTACATACATTACATATATTACATATATTACATATATTACATATATTACATATACATATATATATATATATTAACACACACATACATATATATATATATATATATATGCATAGATATATGTATGTATATGTGTGTGAATACTCATTGTTCTGGTCTAAGGTAGATTCCTCAAGGGGTATTGTGTTTTTGGAAGCTACGAGTTCTTAGTAGCGAACTAGGGAACGAGATCTTATACAATCCGTTCTACAAGGAATTCGGTACGCACCAATCCCTCAAAGGGTAACATGGGGGTGGGGGATCTAAGTTACCGAACTCCTTCGTTCCCTACCAAGAACTAGTAAGTTAAGCCCTAGACCCCAGACTCTAAACCCTAAACCCTAAAACCCATCGTCACCGCTGTAGCTTGCTTCAACCACCACGGGAACCTATAATACAGAACAGCCTATCCCATGTTGGTCGGTTCATATATAAAAACAACACATATACGGGTTCTATAGTGTGGTATAGGGATTAGGGCCGGATTAGGGCCCAGGTAAACCCTAAACCCCACTTGGAGGATCGGAGGACTTAGTCAGCAGGTATAAAGTAGAGCAGGTGTCCTATGCAGGACCCTCCTCCTGAAGGTTATCCTGTGCTAAGTGCCCCGAGGCTCAGTAAACCGCTACTTGAAGCTTATGGGTAGTTATAAGCTAGGAGGCTTGAAACTACCCTTGAACCTCCAAGCAAACCCTAGGCCCTAAACTCTAAATCAACTCGAGGGCATCTTGGCACCCTAAACCCTCAACCCTAAACCCTAAACCCTAGCCCTCAACCCTAAACCCAAGGAGACCGGGGCGCCGACAGAATCTGAAACACCCACTTTCGGCACTTCGCCTCTGCGATCTCCTCCTGCACCTGCTCGCAGAAGAGCACCGGCGGTTTAGGGTTTAGGGTTTAGGGTTTAGGGTTTAGGGTTTAGGGTTTAGAGTTTAGGGTTTAGGGTTTAGGGTTTAGGGTTTAGGGTCCAGGGTTTAGGGCTTCTAGGGGTTTCAAGGTTTAGGGTTTAGGGCTTCTAGGGGTTTTAGGGTTTAGGGTTTAGGGCTTAGGGGTGAGGGTGGGTAGGTTATCAGGTACCCGAAACATGCTTGTAAGTAGAGTCACCATACCAGACCTCTAACCCGCCTTAGAACCACACACGCACCTCCAAGCGCTCGAAACTTTACAAAGCCCCTGAGCCCAAGATTCACATGGGGTTCTCTTCAAGCCATAAGGGGAAATATGTGTGTATGTGTATGTACATATATATTCATTTTTTATTTATACACATACATACACCACAAACACTGTTTACAAATATGTATATATATATATATATGTATATATATATATGTATATATATATATATGTATGTATATATATATATATGTAGGCTTGATTCCTGGACTTCTCGCTTGCTCCCAAAGAGCGAAGCTACGAATCTGCAACCCTAGGCACCTAGGGTCTAGAGGGTTTAGGGTCAACTCCAGAGCCTCCACCCTAAACCCTAAACCCTAGATCCTAAACCCTAAACCCGACACGCAAGTGCCTGGGCTGTGAGGGAGGTTCCCAAAACTATGGTCTCCTTGAGGGTTTCTATGCTAATCTGGAGTCTCTTGGTTAGGGTACACCCAACAGGGGTTTAGGGTTCCGGGTTCAGGGTTTAGGGTTTGGGGTTTGGATAATCTCCCACATGTGAAGGCCTGCGGTGTATCTTCCAGAGTACCTTCTACAACTGGAATCTCACAATCCTCCCACACCCTGCTAGTTCCCTACCCGGCCTGACCAAACCCTAAACTGTAAGGGTTTAGGGTTTTGGGTTTAGGACCCTAAAACCACATATCCCTCAACCCTCAACCCTAACTTTAGGGGGGGGGTGGGGGGTAAGTTGCAGAGGTTGCGATGACAAATTCAACCTGACAGCCCGCACCCCGAAACCCTAAACCCTAAACCCTTAACCCGAGACCCTAAACCCTAAACCCGAAACCCTAAAACCAAACCCTAAAACCCTAAAACCCTAAACCCTAAACCCTCTTCCCGGGGCCTCTTGTTCAAGACCTGCCCGCGGTACTTCCATTGCGATCTCCGTCACCTGGGAAGATACTTGCTACCCTTTAGGGCCTTTAGGTTTAGGGTTTAGGGTTTAGGGTTTAGGGTTTAGGGTTTAGGGTGTAGGGTTTAGGGTTTAGGGTTTAGGGTTTAGGGCTTAGGGTTTAAAGAATATGAGGGTTTCCGAAATTAGGGGTACCTTATTGGGGTCCTGATTACAGGGGGAATCCTACTATTTGGGGATCTATATTGGGGGTCCCCCTTCTTTTGGTAAACCGCCATATAACGAAGGCTGAGATGTATGGTTCCTACAAGTTTGGGCGGAGGGAACCCTCAGCTCCCTTGGAGGGACGAATATTCTCCCCAACACCCATTCCAACGAAGTGGTAGGGTTGAGGGTTGAGGGTTGAGGGTGGAGGGTTGAGGGTGGAGGGTGGAGGGTGGAGGGTGGAGGGTTGAGGGTTGAGGGTGGAGGGTGGAGGGTTGAGGGTGGAGGGTTGAGGGTGGAGGGTGGAGGGTGGAGGTGGGAGGGGGAGGGTTGAGGGGTGGGGTGGAGGTGATGGGAGGGTTGAGGGTTGAGGGTGGATGGTTGAGGGTTGGAGGGGGAGGGTGGAGGGTGGAGGGTGAGGGTTGGAGGGTGGAGGGTTGAGGGTGGAGGGTGGAGGGTGGAGGTGGAGGGGTGGAGGGTGGGGGTGGAGGGTGGAGGGTGAGGGTTGAGGGTTTGAGGGTTGAGGGGTGGAGGGTGGAGGGTTGAGGGTGGAGGGTGGAGGGTGGAGGGTTGAGGGTTGAGGGTGGAGGGTTGAGGGTTGAGGGTTGAGGGTTGAGGGTGGAGGCTGGAGGGTGGAGGGTGGAGGGTTGAGGGTGGAGGGTGGAGGGTGGAGGGTTGAGGGTTGAGGGTTTAGGGTTTACGGTCTAGGGTACACTCTAAACCCCAACGACCCCACAGCCCGATGCCCTAAATAACCCAAAGCAACAAAAACCCCTAGAGGTCTAACGTCCTGACAGAGCCACAACTACTTGGAGGCTCCTGGGTAGCTAAACGTAGGTATGTAACTATACTTAAAATCTAGTTGAGGTACTTATAACCCTACTTCTAAGTACTTATGAACCTCCAAGTCAACTTCCAACTGGATCTCGGCCGCCCACCCCCAAAAGCAGCGCCATCCAACCTTTCACATCCTGCGCTGTGCACCCTAAACCCTAAACCCTAAACCCTAAACCCTAAACCCTAGACCCTAGACCCTAGACCCTGAACCCTGAAACCCTACTTTTTGCTCAAGAACCCAACTTCCTAACCCCTTAGAACATCAGAAGGGCTTCCACGTGAGAAAGGAATGAACCTTAAACTCTATAGGGTTCCTTATAACGATGTAAACTCCATTCTTTAGTTGAGTGGTACATTGGGCCCTAAACCCTAACCCCCCCCCCCCCCCCAAATGGTATCCTCTACTAAAATTGGATCATTCTTAGGAATGCTTAAAGGGATCTACTTTTTGGACCCTGACAGGGGTCTGGGGAGCCGTGTCGCAAGTATGTCTGTTGGGTGCCCGAGCGACAAAAAGAACACAGGAAGCCTTTGGGGTTTATGTTTTAGGGCATTGGGTCATTCTTAGGAATGCTTATGGGAGGTTCATGCGTAGTTATAAGGAGCGTTCTAATGTGGTAGCTATTTCTTGTAACCCAATTTAGGTTGATTGCTCATATATGTATTATATATATATATATATAGGTGTATATATATATATATATATATATATCCCCAAGGAGGGTTTAAGCTTGAGGCTTCGGATTGAGGGTTCCGGGCGTTTCACGCTCCAAGTTTTAGGAACCCTTGTGTTCCGGGTACCCCCACCCCAACAACAAAAGCGGTAACATGGATGCTTGGGCTCCCCAACCCAGGAAAAGAAAAGGAACAGTTGTTTTTGCTGAATGTGGTAGGGAGAGAGAGAGAGAGAGGGAAAAAGAGATGCACGCGCACGCAGAGACGTACACACAGCCTCAAGAAGAAAAGGGAGATGAGTACCTGCAACAGTAAACCCTTTACGCCCTAAACAAACCCTAAACCCAAACTCGTACTTTTAGGGTTTAGGGTTTATAGGGTTTAGGTGTTAGGGGTCTGCAGGTCCTGCTGCACCTGGGCAGGGACGGACATCCGCGTGGTGGAGTAGAACACTTTCAGCACCTCGGGGAGATTTTTGTGGGGGGGACCATGGGTAGGGTTTAGGGTTTAGGGTTTAGGGTTTAGGGTTTAGGGTTTAGGGTTTGGGGTTTAGGGTTTAGGGTTTAGGGTTTAGGGTTTAGGGTTTGGGGTTTGGGGTTTGGGGTTCAGGGTTTGGGGTTTAGGGTTTAGGGTTTCGGGTTTAGGGAACAAGGTTTAGGGTTTAGGGCTTTGAGCTTGCCATAGAGTCCCTACTCCACAATGAAGGAGTTGTTGGAGTCTCTAAGACTCCGATAGCTTCCAGACACTTCAGCACCACACCTAAAGCTCCAAGAAGGGGTACTTAGGGAATCGCCCCCAAAACCTAAAACCCAAAACCCCTACGACCCCTACGTTCCCTACGACCCCTACG